ATAGAAGTAAGCAGAAATGAATGAAAGGGAGTGTGATTAGGAAGCTAGAACCATTATGATGGGCAAAGGACGGGACTTCCCTGTTGGTCCAGTGGTAACGACTCCACCCTCCCAATGCAGTAGACCTGGGTTCGATCCCTAGTCAGGGAACTAAGATCTCGCATGCCATGCAGCCAAAAAAAAAAGAGAGAGAGAGAGAAAGAGAGATGGGCAAAGGATGTAAAGGAAGCTTGTAATCTTGGAAGAGACCTCTAGATGTCAAAAGACTGTAATTGCAGCCAGGTAAGCCTTCTGATAAGAAGAGAGAGGCTGCTAAGATGCACACCAGCTTAGAAGAAGCATTGGGGAAGGGGTGAGGGGAGAAGGGCTGTCTTCATTGGGAAACGTCCAAAGGTCCTATCTTAGAGAAAGGTGGGGTTGGTTAACGCGAGGAGGCTTTGGGAATTGAGGCAAGGTGCATGGGGAGAGAGCCAGAGACTGTTTATAAAGAACCAGACCTACAGATAAAATCTTGCTGACCTGAGTGATTGACTTAGGCCTGGGGCAGGAAAAGCTGACCAGACCAGGGGAGAGATAAGCATTTAGATGAATGAACAGACATATTTGTTATGGGCTGGGAAAGGAGAAGCCCAGAGTTCAACGGGAGGGCTGAGCAAGAAAATTCACAGAGGAGAATAATAAGTCCCACTGTCATGACAAGAACATTGCTATGTCTGTGATCTTACACATCTTTGCTTAAGTGCTCTATCTAGTCTGAAACCAGCTTGAGGAAGCTGGAGGTTTTGCTAGAGCAAAAAGAAAGAAAGTAACACACAGTCGAAATTCTGCTTGGAGTCTAGGAAAGATTTTTTTATTTACGAAAAGGCACTATAAAACTTAAGATGAATAAACACTGTTTTTTTCCTTTTCTTTTTAAAGCAAAATGCTGAATTACAATCAGAATATTTAGAAGAGGGCTGGACTGGTGGCTGTGATGGGAAACTGTGGGCTTCTGACGTTGCCTGGACCCCAGAGTTAGCCATGATCCTGTCTGGGATGCAGGCCTGGAGGGCAGGGCCTACCTGAGCGGTGTTTGCCCTGAAGCCAAACCCAAGCAGCCAGGAGAGTCCTGAACCTGGAGCTGCTATGAATATTCATAGACAAGTTTTTGTTTAAATTCCTGATTTCAACTACTCTGGATATATCCCTAGGAATGGAATTGCTGGGTCATATGAAAAGTCTCTGTTTAGCTTATCAAGTAATTTAACCCCAGGTACATTTTTAAACCTTGTGAAGTCTCAGATTAGCTTCCCTGATAGCTCAGTTGGTTAAGAATTCACCTGCAATGAAGGAGACCCAGGTTCAATTCCTGGGTTGGGAAGATCCGCTGGAGAAGCGAAAGGCTACCCACTCCAGCATTCTTGGACTTCCCTTGAGGCTCAGCTGCCTGCCATGTGGGAGACCTGGGTTTTATTCTGGTCTAGAGAATTCCATGGACTGTATAGTCCATGGGATCACAAAGAGTCGGACACGACTGGGCAACTTTCACTTTCATGCAGTTGACTGGGCTTCCCAGGTGGCACTAGTGTTAAAGAATCCGCCTGTCAGTGCAGGAGAGATGAGACTCTGGTTCGATCCCTAGGTTGGGAAGATTCCCCTGGAGGAGGGCATAGCAAGTCATTCCAGTATTTGTCTGGAGAATCTCATGGACAGAGGAGCCTGGCAGGCTAGAGTCAGTCCATAGGGTCACAAAGAGTCAGACATGACTGAAGCAACTTAGCAGGCATACACGCAACCAAGTTACTTAAACTCCCCGTGCCTCAGTTTCCCTAGCTGTGAGATAGCAATAATAAAAGCATTCTACTTTATAAGGTTGCTGTGAGGATCAAATGCAAAGTTCTGGAAGCTGTGTGTCTGGCACCTGGTAAGCACTCCCCTCTGTGTTAGCCATTAGCTCTATTCATGAACCTATCTTTGTTCCCAAGCCTCTTTCCCTCCTGCCTTATTTCTGCTATTTCTTCTTTCCCCCTATCTTTTTTTACATTTCCTTTTTAACTCTATCCTAGTGCTGATCTATGTTTTCTCTTGAATGAAACACTCAGGCCTCCAGACCCCAAGTCTCTTCTCAAACCCAGTCCTTCCTCATGATGCGGATCCATACATGATTCTGGTCATGTGCCTTCCACTCCTTAAAAACCTTACTGCCCACAAAATAAAACCAACTCTCAAGGGTGAGCATAGAGTCTTCCCTGAGCTGGTCCCAAGAATTCTTTCCAGTCTTACCTCTTGCTGACATCATCATAATTATTATTTTAAAATAATCTCTGGGGAAATTCCCTGGTGGTGATTTTATACTGCTATCAGCCACGTATGAGAGTTCTGATTGCTCTGTATTTTTTCAATACTTGGCGTTGTAAGAGTCTTCACTTAAAAAGAGTCCCTCGGATGATTCTGTTTCACAATCAGGCTTAGGAACCTGTAGACTGGACTTGTTGCAGTTCCCTGAATATTATTAACTAATATTAACTGAGCACTAAGTGTCTGGCTCTTTCCCAAGATCTTTATCAATGTTTTGTCATTTAAATATTGCAACAACTCTGTGAAAGAGACACTATGGTTCTTTCTATTTTACAGATGAGGACAGTTAGGTACAGGGAGGTGGAGTAACTTGCGTAAGGTCACATAGCTCATAAGCAACATAAGTTGGGTTTGAAATAGGCACTTTGGCTCTTCATCCATCAGTTGAACCACTGACTTTTACTTTCCCATACAAATTGTGTATAAATCCCCTATTGAGCTTAATCAATAATTGCTGACATTATTTTTTTTAATCTTTATTTATTATTTGGCTGTGTCAGGTCTTCATTGCAGCATGTAGGCTCTTTCCTCGAGGAGCATGAATTCTCTAGTTGTGTCGTGCAGACTCCATAGCTGTGGCACACAGGCTTAGTTGCTCCACAGCATGTGTGATCTTAGTTCTCCTACCTGGGATCTAACCCACGTCCCATGCATTGCAAGGCAGATTCTTAACTACTGGACCATGAGGGAAGTCCCTGCCATTATTATTTTTACTCAAATCCCACTCATCTTTCAAAGTTCAGCTCAAATTCCACATCTTCTCTCCAGGCTTCTGTTTCCCCCTCTCCTTCTTCCTCTGTGTAATCCCTCAGTGTAATCCTAAATCCTGCAGAAATGTATGAGACTTTGGGGCTGACTTTTATTTCTGTTTTGCACTATCTTATCATGGTCATTTTATTTGTAAGGTCACTGAAATCAGGGTCACTCCATGTTTATCTTTCTATTCCCAGCATGTTGACCTGAATTTAACGTTCTTGTAAATATGGTTGCCCCTCTGTAACCATGGGTTTCACAGATTTAACCAAACATGGATGGAAAATATTCTGAAGAAAAAACTTCCAAAAAGTTTCAAAAAGCAAAATTTAATTTGCCCCTGTCTGGCAACTATTTACATAGCATTTAAACTGTATTCTTACAGTTATTGCTATGTAAATAGCATTTACATAGTACTTGATATCATAAGTAATCTAGAGATGAATTTAAAGTATATTGAGAGAATGGGACTTGCCTGGTGATCCAGTGGTTAAGACTCCAAATTTTGCAGGCTCGATCCCTGGTCAGGAACTATGCGCCTCATGGCCAAAAGGTTTTTTTAAAAAATGTATATGGGAGGAGGTTGCATTGGCTTTATGCAAATACTATACCATTTTATAGAAGAGACTTTAGCAGCAAAGGATTTTTCTATGGGGTGGGGAAAGTCCTAGACCCAATCCTCCATGCATACGAGGAACAATTGTGTGCTACAGGCAGAATCGCAGATGTCCTTTACAGGGAGCTGACTTGGAGAGATAACAGGGGATCACAGAAATCAGCTTGCCTTTTCCCTAGGGAAAAACACACCCCTTTACTTTCTTACTACTGAGTGAAAATGGATGTGCCATTTTAAGGGGACCTGCTTCTTGTCACTGTAGGCTACAGGAGACCACGTTATGTGGCATTGTTAATTACCCAGTGAAGCTGTTATCTTCTGCCTGGCTGCCTCCTCCAAGGCCTCTGCTTGTCTTGTCTGGCCTGGCCTCACTGGTCAGCTTCTTGCTAGTTGCAAGACTACCAGATTATAATAAGTCATTTTTTCCCATACCAATGTATGAAAAACAGGGCCAGGTACATAATTTGTGAGACCGGGTGAAAAACAAAAATGCAGGACTTCTTGTTCAAAATTTATTCAATATTTTCAGAAGGGCATTAAACCAAGAGTAGGGCCCCACAGGTGTCACACCGGTGAAGCCTCCCTGGATGAAAAAGGGACTGAACCCTTCTCAGCTGACAAAAACCAATCACACAAAGTTGAGCATGTGGCCAATAATCTCCAAAGGCTTCCACTTCCCTTCTTGGTACAAAGACTGCTGAAAAGGAAACCACCCCTGTTCTGTGTTACATTTAGGTTGATTGTTATGTATTGAACAGTGTTCTCCAATTCCCTGATAGCGCAGTTGGTAAAGAATCCGCCTGCAATGAAGGAGACCCCGGTTCCAANGGCACTACATCCACCAACCAGAGCAGGTTCCTCCTGTTACTCTCTTGCCCTTGCCAAACTTCTGACACACCTGGCAAAACAGATATCCCAACAAGATTGGAACAAGGATGGGCTAAGCACAAGGGCAGTTTTGTTTTTTTCAAGACCTTTTTTCCTACAGAGAGGGAGCGTCTACAGCAGCAAGGCCTTTGAGGTCACTTTTTAGGAAAACAGAAGACTGCCTTCCCTTCTCAGCCCGTTTCAAGGAAGCATATGTTAGTATCCTATAAACTGAGGACTTTTTCCAACGTCCCCCAACTTAACATGGACTGTGCCCTGCCTGCCACACAGTATGATGTCCCACACTTAGGAGTGTAACTTTCAAGACTGAGGTCACAAATGAACAGGCAACATTGGCTCAGATTCCTGCATCCTTAACCACAGGAAGGATCCGCCCTTCTTCCTGGCCCTCCTAGGGCGCCGCAAACTGGGTTCGCCCAGCGGTTCTTTGAGCTGAGGCAAGGGTCGGGGCGGCGCCGCCTACCCTGGGTGCCTGACGTCTCGAGCCACCCCTGGGAAGGGAAAGAGCAAGTTGGACTGGGGGCAGAGGGGCGGGGGTGCTGCTTTGTGAGGAAACAATTTGCAGCGGCTGCCAAACCGGGAGTCTGCAGGGACGGCCCTCCCTAAACGGCCTTGAGCAACCCGAGCCACCGGAGCAAGCCAGTGTTCTCAGGGCAGAGGGACCCCGCGCGGGCCGCACGCACCCCAGCATGGTCACCGAACCCGTGCTCCCCAGCCGCAGCCGCGACTGCTGGTGACGCCACCGCGGCGGGTTGCATCAGCCCGCGCCCACGGGCCTTGGCCCGCCCTTCCGCCCACGGAACTGGGCGCCGATTGGGCCACGTTAGGGCAGGGGCCTCCGCCTCAGCCAATGGGCGACAGCCACAAAGGGTTCTGTCCGCAGAGTCCGGGCGCGGGGTGCCTATAAAAGGTGCCGGAGGCGGGGGCGCGCGCCCCAGAGACTGGAACCGTCGTTGCGGGGGTTGCTGGCGGCTGGGACGCTTCCTCCCTGCTGTCTGGGGGCGCCGTCGACATGGAGCCTGAGCCCGAGCCTGAACCCGTCACGCTCCTGGTGAAGAGCCCCAACCAGCGCCACCGAGACTTGGAGCTGAGCACCGACCGCAGCTGGAGCGTGGGCCGCCTCAAGGCCCATCTGAGCCGCGTCTACCCCGAGCGCCCGGTGAGAGGGGGGCCCCGACTCCCGCTGCCAGCACCCCGCCACCCCGGCTGTCATCCTCGCAGCACTCGTGGCGCCCCCTCCCCCCTAGAGATGCCGTGTCCACCTCCCCTCCCTGCATTCCCTCCCTTCGCCGGCCGTCCGCCAATGGCTGCTCCCCCCAAGGCCAGTTTCCCAGGCCTGTGGTCACCCCCTTTTAGTGCCCTGCCGCCCTAGGCGCCCCTTGACCTGGCCCCGTGACTGCCACTTCCTCCTCCCGGGCCGCCATCGCCCCGCCTTCCTGACGGGGCCGCCTTCCCCTGTCACGTCGCCGCCTAGGTCCCCAAACTCTGCCATATACCTCTCCAGACCCCTTCCCGTCCCCTCGATCTGGCTTCCAGCCTTAGCCAAGCCGCTGAAACAGCAGTTTGACCCTGAGTGAATCGTTTCATCCTCCAAACCTCAGTTTCCCCCAAACGTCAGAGCGACGTGTTCCTGGTTAGGATCGTATCCGATTAGGTTAGAAATAAGGAAACGTGAAGGCTGCAAACTGGATTTTCTGATGTGGCCTCTCACTGGGGAGAGGAGAGGGCAGGGGCTAAGCCCAGGCCAGTGGCCATAGAGAAGCGTGGTGAGCGCCGGGCGGTGTGTACCGAAGGCCCCACACCCAGGAGCAAGGACGTGGCTCTTCCCCTCCGGGTCCACCTTCCGCCTCGGGGCCCCTCCCTGTGAGCTGGACTCCACGGCGCCTGCCTAGTCCCAGGGAGGAGGCTCGTGCACTTTCTGCTAAAGAGTGACTTAGAACGCAAATAGGTGGAAGGAACCTACCCGAGTCTGGGTTTTAAAGACTTTGGGCCCTCAGTTACAGAGATTTCCTCGCTTTGTTTTGGTTGACACATCTGTCAACATCACCCTTAGCGACGGCCCTCCCTCCCCACAACGTGATGGAAGCCATGAACTGGACCTTCCTGTGTTTACTTTCTAATTTTTTTTACTCTAATATTATGTAAGTGTCAGCAGTGTTCTTTGCTGCCCAGGACTGTAATTCCCCTCTGTCAAACAGAAGAGGGCATCAGGTCAGGATGAGATTGTGAAATTGTCCCTCCTTATCTGAAGCGTTATTACGTGCCATGGCTCATGGGTCAGGTTGTTTTTGTTCCCTGTTGTCAAGAAGGTGGAAGTGTGAGTGTCTCTTCTGAGCCGTTCGTTTGAAATTTACTAATTTGTTTAAGAGGCTCCCATTTTGTTATCATTTATCTTGGCACTGTTTGCAAGGTCACCATAGTTGCTTCCAAGAAACCAGGTGTTAAGCTGCTATGAGAATGGCTATTAGGTACACAAATTGGCGAGGCAGGTGTAGGCTCTTGTTGCATCATTTGGTGAAAGGCCATGTTTTGGAGGAGAGCTTTCCTTTTGGGCTTCCCTGGGTGAGAAGCATCACTCTGGTCTGAGGACCTAAAGTTATAAGTAAAAGGTCTCTCAGATATGTAAATTTGTGCTTAAAAATTATGGCTGAAGCACACTCATCATTTGCTTTGTAATGTGAGAAGGCTTACTTTTGATAGTGGTTTGCTTAATATATTTTTCTTCAAATCAGCATTCTGGGTAAAGACACTAGGGTCATTTCAGGCCTTTAACAGGCCTCAAATCACAGACACCTGTGGTTTTCAAACCTTTCCTAGTGTGAATCTCTTTAATAATGCAGGATCCCACCTATGCAATAACATTTACAAGTCCAAGTTTATAGTGTTTACTTTAAAAGTTCAGTTGTTGAGAATGATGGTGAACACAACATTCAGTATATTTCTGTAGTTTGTTATACTTGCCCAGTGTCAAAAAAATAATCCTGATTTACACAGATAAATTGATACTGTTATTGTTTTGTTTTAAACAGCTTGCTTTTGTATCTCTGGCTACTTTGCAGGAATGGGTTTATTCCAAATTTTGCATAGTTGGTTATTCTGGCAAGAGTAGGTTAAGAAGTTGGTGATGCTCTCCAGTGTACTGACTTAGGTGTATATCATCTGAAGCCTTTAAGTTCAATTTTTAAGGGAATTAAAAATAGATTTTAAAAGTGAGATCTGTATCAAAGTGTGTGGCACCACTGTGGTTTTAAAATTGCTGGAATGGAGAAGAGGGTTAGGAATCTTGACTTTAGCAGCACATGACCTTGGACAAGAGAACTTTAGACTTTCCCCCTCCCCCTTAAAATTGCTTGCTAAGATGCTTCAGTCCTGTCTGACTCTTTGCTACACTATGGCCTGTAGCCTGCCAGGCTCCTCTTGTCCGTGGAATTCTCCAGGTAAGAATACTGGATTGAGCCTTCCTGACCCAGAGATCTAACCCACATTAAAATAGGCATACTAAATATCTCACAGGGTTGTGTGGAGTGCTGCCACACACCGTCTCCTCTCTAGCTGTGTTTGTATGTTGAGAAAAGTCTCAAGTTTATAACTGCTTCGGTTATCTTGGGATGGTGTTCTGTGGTTTTAGTGAAGGCTCGCTTTGAGTTCTCTTGAGACCAAACGAGGTTTTGAAGTTGGTTGCTGTAGGAACTCCTACAAAGATTGGTGCTTTTTGTGGCAGAAAGCAGCCTCCCTAGGAGTTAAGTAGGTTGCCATAGGCTTTGTGGACTGGATGTAGTTTGCCATCCTAAATTTGTTTGCATGTTAGAAATCAGTTTAAAGTTGAGAATTTTCTAAATAAAAGTATATGGGGCCTTTGGAAAAATGTTCTCCTATGATGCTGGGGGGAAGAAATTTAAATATTTGTATAAAACGGTGTCTTCTGTTTGGGAAGTTGCAGCACTAAGTGCTGACCTGTGCTACTCTTTCTTTCCATAAGCGTCCAGAGGACCAGAGGTTAATTTATTCCGGAAAGCTGTTGTTGGATCACCAGTGTCTCAGGGACTTGCTTCCAAAGGTATCACTTAATATTATTAACTTTTTGAATGTTTTTAAGCACTAGCTGGGTTGAATTCAAGTCCTAAAGTATTTCCTTATTACTTTCAGCAGGAAAAACGGCATGTTATGCATCTGGTGTGCAATGTGAAGAGTACTTCAAAAATGCCAGAAGCCGGTGCAAAGGTAAGTCTGCTTTTTCATGACTGTGGCAGTTTGTGTCATTCAGACTGTCAAGGTAGAAATAAAGGAAGTTGGGTTAAACTCATAAGCGAGCCTTTTTATCATGTAATATTTTGTGTCTTCCCCAGTGAGAATCAGGAATAAACTGTTATCAATACAAATGAGAGTTTACTATAATAGAAGTAGAGTGTTCTATTAGTCTTGTAGTGGAAAAATGGAGTTCTGCAGTATACTTTCTCTGGGACACAATTTGACCTATAGTGGCTCAGAGTCCAGATTGCCAAAGTAGCAAGGCAGTCATGAATTTAGTACATAATAAATTTCTTCTAAGGAACCATTCATTTTTATAGAGTAAAAAAGTGACTCTATTTCCTTTGGAAAATTTCATTTGTTGGGATAGGAAAAGACCACAGTCTTTATAAAGACTCATGTTAAATGGTTAAAGTCCCTTGTTTTTCATTTCACAGTGTTAGTTTAAATATACAGTATTAATATTCTAATGTGGTGATACACTCTAAAATTGCATTACAGCAGTACATCCTGAAACATCTGAATGTACTATAAGAAATACTTCAGGTCTGTGTTGTATTTATAAGCCTTATCAGTCGAATTTAATTCCTTGATTTAGCAAATTTAATACCATAAGATGAATAGAGCATTAATAGGAAGCTATTGCTTTCTCAGCAATGAAAACTTCATTGGAAGATTTCAGTGAAATTACAGCATAGCTACTCTAGGAAAAAAGTATAGATTTAGTATTTCTGTATTGATACTGTGTTGAGAAAATTTCAGAATATCTTCATGTAACATTGTGTCTATTTTGATTTTGTCAAGTTCAGAGGTCAGGGTTGGGACATAAGCCATTCACAGCGAAAGAATCCTTGAAGCTTGATTTCAGACAGTTGCATCAGACCTTTTGTTCTTGTGTTCATGTTGCACTTAGGTTGCTGAAGCCACAGAGCAGCCCACTGGTCTGAATCAGGGACAGTCCCCTGGGGATTCCTCAAGTGACGGTTTAAGGCAGAGGGAGGTTCTTCGGAACCCTTCTCCCTCTGGATGGGAGAACATCTCAAGGTGAGTGTTGTCATAAAGAACGTGAACGTGCATTATTTGCATCAACTTACGAAAAAGCTATGTTTGTACTTTAAGTCATGGAACTTTAAAAGGGACGCAGTTTTGCTTTATAAGGGTTTCACTTTAAAGATCTTTTGTGTATTTAGCTTAATACATGGCCTTGTAGGAACATCTAAAAAGTAGAGAGGCACAGCATGCAAATCTGGGCATCTCTCCTCCTACGTGGGTGTGCCTCTCAGGCGCTGACCTCACGGTGGGAATCGGTGCTGCTGCGCTGGAACAGCTGTTGTCAGCACTCTGCATCCGCTTTGCTGAGTGGCTTTGTGCGTTGTTGTAGCAGTGGCTGACAAAAGGTGAAGGTATCATTGGAGAAATGCTCTGCCAGGAACTGTGTTGGTGGAGTTAGGAGAGGGGGTACAATTAGAGCTTTTCTTTAGAGCAAAAGCCGGAAGTGTCTAAATGGTGTGCTGTTTGTATTTCACAGCCCTTAGAACACCTTTTAGGAAAGATCCTATGGGAAAAAAACAGTTTATTAATTATGAGTTGAAACTGTGTTACTCTCTGAGTCCCCTGCCTTCTGTTTCTTGGTTTTTAATACCTGATTGTTGACAGTCAGGTGTTTGAGGAATGAAGAATTGGTTTTTTTCTTAGTGGAAATTTCAAATACACATGAAAGTAGAGAGAACTATATAATGAATCTTCATGTAATGATTAAAATTTTTTGCCATACTTGCGTTATCTATTCCTCCTTTCCTTTTATCCTGAGGTATTTAAAAATAATTCTCAGACATTGTCAGTTCACCCCCATATACTTCAGGATATAAAAACCTTGTAGTTACCTTGTGTATCTGGAGCGTCATCATCAGAGCTAACAAAAAACTTTATTTTGTCATTTCTACACACAGTCTTTTTGCAGTTTTTATTGACATGGGGCTTCCCAGGTGGCTCAGTGGTAAAGAATCCACCTGCCAATCAATGCAGGAGATCCAGGTTCGATCCCTGAGTTGGGAAGATCCCCTGGAGGAGAAAATGACAACCCACTCCAGTACTTTTGCCTGGAAAATTCCATGGACAGAGGAAACCCAAAGGCTACAGTCCATGGCATAGCAAAGAGCTGGACGCAACTGAGCGTGAAGTTCCAGTTGTCTTACAGTGTTGTATGGCCAAGTGACGGAGCTATACACGTATATACATTCTTTTTAAATTTTTATTTTCCACTGTGGTTTATCACAGGATATTGAGTATAGTTCCCTGCATTATACATTAGGACCTTGTATCTTTAAATAGTCAAAAACAATATCGTACCACAACATACTTATATTAGAATACAATTTTAGAAGTACTCCGGGTATGGAATTTGGTTAAAATACCGTTGTCAGCGTACAAGTCGGATAATCGAATTCAATTATTGGATAGATGCTCTTAAAACTGCTTTTCTTTTTTTGACTGTATGATTTGAAAGTTGAGGCTCATATCTCTGTGAATTTCGCCATCATAAAACTTGTTGATTTCCTCCAACAAATATTTATTGGACAGACCAGTGCATGCACCTTTGTTTAAGGATATGAGTTGAGCAGCACAGATGACCACGCCACTATTCTGGTCTTTCTGCAGTTGTGTTAGTTTGTATTTTGTGATGTAATGCCAAAGAAGTTCACCGTGTAGGGCTCACAGGCAGAAGATGACTCCCACACGCACCCTGCCTCAGGCTGTGCTGAATGACAAAATGCAAGAGTTTGGTGTCATACTAACAGGGCTTGGATCCAGCCCTACTACTTAGGAGTTGAGCGGCCTCATCCAGATCCTTTGTCCTCCCTGAGCTGTCCTCAGGCTCCCCTCTATAAATGGGGTGGCTGGAGAGCTCCACAGACTTGCTGGGGATCCAGTGAGATGGCAGCCTGGTGACCTCACAGGGCACAGGTGGTCAGTAAGCATGGCTGGGTGATGCCACACGTAACTCTGCCCCCTTTATATTTCAGATCTAGGGTTGGGAGAGAAATGGTGTTGGGAGAAGGGGAGGATTTCCTGCAGAAAAGGCTTTGGAGAGATGTGACTTTTTCAAGCTGCTCCCTGAAGGATGAATAGTGGGGTTTAGACCTTCAGTGAGACTCTACAAGTCTAAAATAAGGGTGGGGATCCACTCAGACTGAAAAGATCCAGCTTGTTTGTACATCAGGGTGATGACATGAGAACCCAGTGCTGGGCGAGGGCCCTTGCTTTCGCATGGGATCCAGACCCTGGCAGGAGGGCTCTGTCAGTACCTTCTGTGATTGTATTGCACTGGTGCCTCACCCGGAAATCTACGTGTAACTGTCACAAAGCCCAGTCATCCGTCTCTTTCTGTTTTGAATTCCTGATTGATTTAAACTTGGTTTTCATTGATTCATACTAAGCCAACTCAAAACGAGCATTGTTTAATCATCTTTCACAGGCCTGAAGCAGCCCAGCCGGCGTTCCAGGGCCTGGGGCCTGGTTTCTCGGGCTACGCAACCTACGGGTGGCTGCAGCTCTCCTGGTTCCAGCAGATGTACGCTCGGCAGTACTACATGCAGTAGTGAGTGTTTCCCCGCCTGCTGGGCGTGGCCAGGGCTCCCGGGAGTGGAAGGAGCGCACGTCCATGATTCCTGTAAAGCTAGAAATGGAGGGATGAGTGTGTTTTCATTATTATCTGCAGAGTCCTGTTGTGTCTGGTTCTGTGGGTGGAACAGTATAAATGGTAACTACTAACTTGTGCATTGACACAGGTGTGCTTGTGTGTGATCCACGGTTTGATGACTTTATGTAGAATATGTTCCTTCCTTTTCAATTTGTGGTATCTCTCAATGGTTTATGAAAATTTTAATTGATTATTGCACTGTACTTTCTTGGTGGCCTTGGAGGTGAAATTTACCCAGTGGTTTCCCTTAGGAGCAGAAAAGCTTTTAAAGATATGATTGTTAGTAAAAAAGTTCTTTGCTACCTTAAAGAAAACCAGCATTTGTATATCCCTACTTATAATTCTTAAAAGATCCCTGTGTAAATGAGATGATGAGAACCGGTCTTCAGGATGCCTTGCTCTCAACAGTATCTGCCTCTGTTGTTTTTATCTTAGCTTAGCGGCCACTGCTGCGTCAGGGGCTTTTGTCCCCTCACCAAGTGCACAAGAGATACCTGTGGTCACTGCACCTACTCCAGCCCCAATCCACAACCAGTTTCCAGCTGAAAACCAGCCCGCCAATCAGAACGCTGCTCCACAAGTGGTGGTTAATCCTGGGGCCAATCAGAATCTGCGGATGAATGCTCAAGGAGGCCCCATTGTGGAAGAAGATGATGAGATAAATCGAGATTGGTTGGATTGGACCTATTCGGCCGCTACATTTTCAGTGTTTCTCAGTATCCTCTATTTCTACTCCTCCCTGAGCCGATTCCTCATGGTCATGGGGGCCACCGTGGTTATGTACCTGTAAGCAGATGGTTTCGCTTTTATTCCCTCTCTACTACAAATTACACTATGTGATGACTCAAACCAAGTGCAGACTTTCCTCTTTTGAGCAGTTTCAGTCAATATTTAAGGAGGTATATTTAAGTCATAAGTCATTCTGGCATTTTCAGTATAAAGAATTGATGGCTTGGTTGTGCATTGCCAACAATACAATTAAATCTGTATTGATACAAGAACAACATTCTCTTCTTTTCCTCTAGTTAAGCTACCTGCCAGGCTTCTTTTCACGCTGAGGCATGGAAAGAAAAATTGTGTTTGTGTTGAATAAGAACATATTTATCTTTTACCAGGCTACAGCTGCCTTCTAGGATGAAGGCCACTGGCTGTGGCATAGTCCTAAAGGGTCAGGGAACTGTTGCAGGCCTGGCATTTGGCTGTACCCATGGTGCTAGTAGTTCTCAACCAAAATGGTTTTACGTCTCCCTCTAACCCTAACCCTTACCCTCAAGACGTTTAGCAGTGTTTGGGGACATTTTTAGCTATCACAGGCGATGGTGGTGGGGCGAGGTGGTTCTACTGGCATCCAGCTGATAGCTGCTGAACATGCTACGGTACACAGTTCAGCCCCACAGTAAATACCCAGCCTGGGACATCAGCAGTGCCAAAGTGGGGAACCCTGGCCTGGAGTGACGTGTCCTTATTTGTGGTGAAAACTGACTGAAGACATTTTTCCTCTATAGGAAAAATGGATTTTTTTAGTTTTTGAAATTCTTAGAAATATTTAGAAAAATGCATTCAGTACTCACATCCAGTATTAATCATGGTTAATATTTTGTCATGTTTGCTTCAAGACTTGGATTTAAGTGGATTTTCCAGATAAAGCTTTTAGGTAATTTTTAAATTCTATTGTCTCTAGAATCATATATTTGGGTGACCAAATCTAAGTCTTATTAGTAATGTTATGACATATAGTCACAGCTGTGTATGTATTTCCTCTTTTCCTCTCTGTTCAAGTTTTCAAGTGTAGGGTTTAGTTTAGATGAGCAAGTATGTATCGAGCACATACTATGTGCCAAGTGCTCTTTCTGTTGCTGGGCACACGGTAATAAATAAGACATAGTTTCCATAGTGACCATCAAGAACCTCACATTCCACCTGGCCTGGTAGAATGTGTCTGCAGATGGGTCTGGCTTCAAGCTTTAATCGGGTCCTGTTCTGAGGAGAGGAGGGGAGTGAGGGGGGTCTCATCTCATCAAGAGGGCCGTTAAATTCTTGAGTACATCTCACTCTATTCACTAAGATGGACTTAATGTGCTTCCTTCGAAGGCATCACGTCGGGTGGTTTCCCTTTCGACAGAGGCCAGTTCAGAACTTCCCGAATGGTGGTCCTCCTCAGGAGGCTGTGAATCAAGACCCCAACAATAACTTCCAGGTATGGAGCTTCCATGGAGCCCAGTGAGCCCAGTGTGAAGTGCCGGGCCCTGGAGTCCTTCATCTTTAATTAAATACCTTGTGGTTTTTTCCATTTTATTAGACTAAATATTTCAAGATTTTTTCAAATTTATTCTTAGAGCAGTAGCTATTTTTAAAACAGTCACAAAGTCCATCAGGTATTTTTGTTGTGTGGCAATTTGCATTTTGGCTCATGTAAATGGTTTTTGAAACTATTTTGAGTGTTCATGCTTAGTAACAATGTATTATACCATGGAAACTGCTAATGGAGAGTTATTCTAATTAAGAGTTAGGAACATATGCCTGTCTCTCTCTCAGAATAGATTTCTTGGAAAATAACATACAGAAATAGGATTTCAATAAGGCACTTTAATGCACAATCCTAAAGGAGATTCTTTTTAATATAAAGTATCACTGTAGTATCTGTTTTTAGAATTCTGTGTTTCCAGTTTTAGTTGCTTTTTTTTTTTTTTTTTTAGCTAGGAACACTGTGGAAATTAGAAAAATATTAAGTGGCAAGCTTAATTACTAAATAATAGTTGAAGGTGTAGTTACTTCATTTGATACTGTGGCCAGGGATACTGAAAACTATGAGAGCGCTCCAGCACACTTGTGCTGTGGAGGCCAGAGGAGGAGCTCCGTCCAGCCTGCGACGTCATCCCCGCGGTCATGCCTGCATCGCTTGGCTTATGCTCAGGGACCCAGGGAGTCACTCTGCCCTTGCCTAATGTTATTGGGTGCTTGTCACAGTCCTAATTGTTTTCTCCTTGTGTTTTATTCCCTACAGGAGGGTCCTGATCCTGAAATTGAAGATCCCAGCCACCTTCCTCCAGACAGGGATGTACGGGGTGACGAGCAGACCAGCCCTTCATTTATGAGCACAGCGTGGCTTGTCTTCAAGACTTTCTTTGCCTCTCTCCTTCCAGAAGGCCCTCCAGCCATAGCAAACTGACGGTGTTTCCTCTCTGGCTGCTGGAGGCTTTGACAGGCGTGAACTGATCATCTGATTCTGGCTCGATTTCGTTACCTGGACATGGCAGTGGCACAGAAATAGTATAAGAATCTACAAAGAGGATGATATGCTTTTGTGATTAAGCAAAAGCAGAAAGTAAGACATGAAGCCATGATACAAATTGATGAACAAAAAATGCCTACAGGCTTCTCATGTCTTTATTCTGAAGAGCTTTAATATATACTGTTGTAGTTTAATAGGCATTGTAAGTAGAAGGCATTAGTTTCGCATGTTTATGCCTGAGGAACTTTTCCAGATGTGTGTGTCTGCATGAGTGTTTGTACATAGACGTCATAGACGCAGAAATGATTCTGCTGGTACGATTTGATTCCTGTTGGAATGTTTAAATTACACTAAGTGTACTACTTTATATAATCATTGAAATTGCTAGACATGTTTTAGCAGGACTTTTCTAGGAAAGACTTATGTATAATTGCTTTTTAAAATGCAGTGCTTTACTTTAAACCAAGAGAAGCTTTGCAGAGGTGAAAACCTTTGCTGGGTTTTCTGTTCAATAAAGTTTTACTATGAATGACCCTGGCAGAGACTCCTGTCATCTTAGTTGTTTATTCTGTGCCTATCATCACTGGATGGTCAGCAGTTGAGTTGCTGATTTTTGAGTAACCTGAATATTTTGCTTCTTTTTATAAAAGGACCATTTGTACTGATTAAGAAGATAAGGTAAGGCCACGGAAGTTTTAATTTTTTTTTTTTTTTTTGCACAGGCTTTCTCTAGTTGCAGTGAGCGGGGCTACTTTTCATTGTGGTGCTAGGGCTTCTTCCTGACGTGGCTTCTCTTGTCACAGAGCACAGGCTCTAGGCATGCGGACTTTGGTAGCTGGAGCATGCAGGCTCAGCAGTTGCGGCTCACGGGCCCTAGAGCTTTCGGGTTTTAGTAAGTGCAGCTTGCAGGCTTGGTAGTTGTGGTTCACAGGCTTAGTTGCTCCACGGCAGGTGGAACCTTCCCAGATCAGGGATCCAACCTGTGTCCCCTGCATTGACAGGCAGATTCCTATCCACTGCACCACTAGGGAAGCCCTGGTCATGATCATGTAAACATCATTGTTTACAATGATGACTGGAAACATCATTGACATCCAATAAACATTCCCTGAACAGTTCATAGCCAGATGCTGGGTAGAGGCAAAGCTGTTTTGTGTGTGTGTTTGTGTGTGCACGTGCGTGGTCAGTCACTCAGTCGTGTCTGACTCTTTGCAACCCCATGGACTGTAGCCCATGAGGCTCTTCTGTCCATGGGACCTTCCCAACCCAGGGTTCGAGCTGGTATCTGCTGCATTGGCAGGTGGATTCTTAACCTCTATCACCACCTGAAAAGGACTCCAATTTTATCTGTGACTGTGCTTTTAAAAGCCAACCAAGATACCATGTAAGGAGTAAAATAGCATAGAGTTTCAAATAACACCAGACCTCTGGAACAGAGGACTGACCAGTCAGGAGCCACTGATGATTGACGAGTTACAAAGGCGATATTTGCTTGAAGGAAGAAGCAACTCGAGAAGAGGTTCTACAGCTTTATGAGTGAGAAGTAGGCGATGGGAAGACACTGAGGAGCTGCAGAGAAGGGTCACCGCCGAAACGAGAGTGCAGAGATGAGACTCCCCTCCTGCCGTGGAGCTGGATTCCTGGTGTACTTGGCCATTGATCAACATGGTCGTTAAGAATTGATATGAAGTCATTTTTAAAATCCTTGAGAAGCCTATCGTTTTATGGAGGAGGAGCAGCATCGCTTGGAAAAGACGCCCGGAACCCCAGGCAGCTGGCAGTGCTGGGCTCCTGCTTTTGAAGTAGTGAGGCCACTCACTCTCCCTGTGGTGTCTGGTTGCATCAGTTAAACTCCAGATTCCACAGGCTCAGAATAGGTGCTCCTAAGGACAGCTGACAAGGGTTCAGATTGTCCCTAGCCACATTAAGAAAGGAACCTTCAGACAAGAGTCAAGGCTTAAAGACTTCTGACGGGTGTGAGACATGGCAAAAAGAACTTTCCACAACAGTTACTAACTGTGCAGTCACAGAAGAATGTACTGCATACCACTGTTAATACTTTGGAAATTGTTGGTTTGAGTCTCTGTTGTTAAGTAGCAGTTAAAAAGCTGAAAGCATAAACCAAAAAATTTCCCAAATGTTAGCTCAGGCCGTCATCGCTTTTTAAGTTAGTGTTTTTCAAGGTGTGTTTTCTTGAACCCTCGTTCTGTAGAAGGAACACTCCAGAGACAGAGCTTGTGCTCAGTCGCTCAGTTGTGTCCAAGTCTTTGCAACCCCATGGACTGTAGCCCACCAGGCTCCTCAGTCCCTGGGAGTTTCCAGATAGGAAGATGAGTGGATTGCCATTTCCTTCTCCAGGGAACCTTATCGCCCAGGGATTGAACTGGCGTCTCCTGCTTTGGCAGGTGGATTCTTGACCATCGTGCCACCTGGGAGGCCCCGGGAAAATCACCTCACAGCCAGGTAAATCTGGAAGCCTCAAGTTGACACAAGTTGGTGGGTTTCTTCACTGCAGGGTTCCGAGGGCATTTACTATCCCGATATGCATTCCAAGGAGGGTGTGTGGTCTGTGGCCTCTCCCTTCTGTGGACCCGCCCAGGACTGAAAAATGGGCCACAGCTGAGGAAATGCAGTTAAGTTACTGTTAATGAACAGCTTGTTTGGGCAGCACACAGGTGCTTGGTGAGAAATGACCTTATACATCCATAATGAGCAATGGAGGTAAATACTCTGGATGGCTAGGGAGGGGATCAGAAGCCAAGCGGATCTATGGTCTGGCTAGTAGAGAGAGGTTCCAAGTCATCTTTGTCAGAAGAAGCTCTCTCACCTGTTTCTAAGGGAGTTAACCCTTTGCGTGAAGAAACTGCAATGGCCCCCCGAGGGAGTTCCCTTGAGAGAAGCGGCTGATTCTTCTCAGGACCTACGCCTCCCCCACCTCCCTTTGCTTCTACATCTATAACCAGACGCAAGTCCCAGCAGGTCTCAAGAAGTGAACAGCTGTGGGCGGCACACCTAAAGAACTGCATGATTTTTCCCACTTATACGGCCAGTTCCAGGGTGAGAATGGATATTATTAATGGGTGTGGGCTAGTGGTGGAAGCAACATCAAGTTGGATCAGGCTGGATTTATTTTTTGTTAATTTTTTTAAAAACGTATTTATTTTTGGCTATGCTGGTTCTTCGTTGCTTCACGGGCTTTCTCTGGTTGCGGTGAGTGGGGGCTACTCTCCAGCACAGTGCAGAGGCTTCCCATTGCGGAGGCCTCTCTCACTGTAGAGCCCAGGCTCTAGGCTCATGGGCTCAGTAGTTTCTCTGTGGCATGTGGGGCCTTCCCACACCAGGGATCGAACCCATGTCCCTTGCACTGGCAGGCAGACTCTACCACTGAGCCACCAGGGAAGCCCAGCCTGGATTTACTAACAGTCCACTGAACAGAGATTCTTTTTTTTTAATTAATTATTTTAATTGGAGCCTAATTACTTTACAATATTGTAGTGGTTTTTGCCATACATTGACATGAAGCAGCCATGGGTTTACATGTGTCCCCCATCCTGAACCCCATTCCCACCTCCCTCCCCATTAAGCAAAGATTCTGTTTGTTTCAGCGTGAAAAATGAGAAATAGTTCCGATAGTTAAGTTGGCTGAAACATAGGCTGAAGGGTGGCCCACCCTAAGGAACTGAAATGACAGAACTACCTTGGTATACTGTAGAAGGTATTCATCATAGGGAGATTGGAATGTTTAGTGTGAATTTATCATGTCAGACCTGCTCACCCACCCTGGGAGGGTCCAGAGGACACACCTTTCACATGTAGCCCACTGAGCTCCTCTCTCCATGGGACTTCCCAGGAAGAAGACTGGAGTGGGTTGCCACTTCCTTCTTCAGGGTAGTAATACAGTACTTTAATTTTTTTTTTATTTTATATTTTGTCAGCATGATGTGTTTTATTTATTTTTGAATGTCTTGGCCACCCCCTGTGGCATGTGGGATCTTAGTTCCCCCAACTAGGGATCAAACCTACACCCACCCCTGTACTGGAAGCACAGATGCCCAACCAACCACTGGACCAGGAAAGTCCCTACAGTATTTTTAAATTATGATATGTACTGTTTTATTAGACATTATGTTACTCCCCACTTAATAGACTATGGTATAATGTAAACATAAGTTTTATGGGCATTAGGAAACCAAAAAGTTCGTATGACTCACTTTATTAGAATATTTGCTTTATTGCAGGGGCCTGGGACTGAACCTGCAGTACCTCGGAGGTGCGCCTGTACTTAGCAACAGGCAGAATCCCCACCCTGGTTCCCTCACTTGTGGAGTGAGGCATATTATGGAAAACCAAGTGGAAGTCACAAGAACTGCCTGTACCCAGGAAAGTGTTCACGGAGACCAATGCCACATCCCCAGAGGGAGTGCAGAAATCAGCGCCACCATCAAGGACTTAAGAGATGCAGTGGTGCTGACCCCACATCTCTGTTCAACCCTCATTCTCTGCAGAAGACAGGTGGGTCATGGAGGATGACCTTTGTTGTTTAGTCACTCTGTCGTGTCTGACTGCAACCCCATGGACTGCAGCACGCCAGGCCTCCCTGACCTCCATCTCCCAGACCTTTCTCAAACTCATGTCCATTGCATCAGTGATGCAATTCAACCATCTCCTCTGTCGTCCCCTTCTCTTCCTGCCTTCAATCTTTCTCAGCATCAGGATCTTTTCCAATGAGTTGGCTGTTTGCATTAGGTGGCTAAAGTATTGAAACTTCAGCTTCAGCATCAGTCCTTCCAGTGAATATTCAGGGTTGATTTCCTTTAGGATTGACTGGTTTGATCTCCTTGCAGTCCAAGGGATTCTCAAGAGTCTTCTCCAACACCACAGTTCAAAGCCATCAATTCTTTGGCACTCAACCTTCTTTATGGTTCAACTCTCACATCCATACATTACTGGAAAAATCATAGCTTTGACTATACGGACCTTTGTCGGCAAAGTGATATACTTTTAATATACTGCTTTTTAATATAATGTCTGGGTTTGTCACAGCTTTTCTTCCAAGGAGCAAGTGTCTTTAATTTCATGGCTCCAGTCACCATCTGCAGTGATTTTGGAGCCCAAGAAAGTAAAGTCTCTCACTGTTTCCACTGTTTCCCCATCCATTTGCCATGAAGTAATGGAACCAGATACCATGATCTTCGTTTGTTGAAATGTGTGGACATGGGTGATCATAAATTGATTATCATTGGTGGCTTGGAGGTGGTTACTCCAATTGCAGCTGCTCTTCCATGTGGTTTCATTACTTGAGCGAATTACACATCCCCTGTTCCTGGTTTACAGCTACTGATCCAACAAGTGCTTTTTCCTTAATGCCTGTTAGTTAAAACCACGAGAAGCAGTTTGCTTTCAATTGGCCAGACCAAAGATACTCGTTCACTGTCCTGCCTCGGGTGTATCAACTCTGCCGCCCAATGTAATTACAGTTTGGTCTGCAGGGATCTTGATCACCTTTTCCTTCCACAAAATATCCCACCAGCTGAACA